GTCTGAAGATGTGATTTCCAAAAGAGAGATTCTCCTAGTTTTTGAAGGACTAGACACAGTTGCTACAATTCTGGTGAATGGCATCAAAGTGGGTGAATCAACAAACATGTTTCACAGGTATATCTTCAGTGTCAAGGGAACTCTCAAGACCGGTTTGAATGTAATTGAGGTGTGCTTCACATCTGCCATTACTTACGCCAAAGAGCAAGCAAGCAAGTCACCGTATCGAGTGCCTCCGGCTTGTCCTGTCCCAGAACAACATGGGGAGTGTCATGGTAATTTCATCAGGAAAGAGCAATGTTCTTTCAGCTGGGTAAGCCACTCATCTGAATGGAAACTAAATAGAAACCAAGTAAATCAAAGATAAATCGCAAATATAAAAGTCAGGCTGTAAAAGACATTCTTTACTTGTGCAAATAGATGGGAAATGTTGTCAAGAGGCAAGTTAATGGTAGTCAATTTCTTCTCTTTTGTAGGACTGGGGACCAGCATTCGTCACACAAGGGATCTGGTAAGTCACACAATCTTTAACAAGCAACGTAACAGTTCAACTTAGCCTAGTGTACCCTACCTCCCTCCCTTCTGTTTTCTTGTTGGGGAGGGGGAGGGTATGGTTGTATGTAGGCTAAAGTTTAATGGGGCCTCTCTCATTTGAGAACACGTCAGTTGTGGCTTTAATCCCTCACATCATCTATATCATTTTATCCATCTACATTGTATAAGGCTCTGTGTGGACGGAGCTGATGCCAACCTCCGGAAATCTAAAATCTGGAGACTCTCTTTTTTGCACTAACCCCCTCCCCCCCCAAATGTCAATGCATCCCCGCTCACAAATTGACCTATGATTTAGGTCATTATGAAGTCTTACATGAAGTAGATACTATCAAAATTCGCTTTCATCATTGTAATGATGAAATAATCTTTGTCAGTGACAAGTTACATGCAAAATGCCCCAGAAATCTTACAATGAAAAAACAAAATTCAAATTTTGAGAAAAAAAGGGCTAAGTTTCAAACTAAAGCACAGAAAAACTCAAAAGTCCATTTTTTTGG